AACATGGAGTGCTCTGTGTTTGATTTTGTTAGTGGGATGGAACAAGTAAAGGAATGGGGTTGTTCTTTTTGGGGGTGCCTGCTCTTGCTGAAGAACACATTGCTGGGTTTTCTACTTAGTCTGAACACTGAAACCAAACATGGAGATACTGTGTGTGTATGAGTATTCCAACTCTCTGTCCCCTTGGGTTTGCTCTGATGTATCAGTGACAGCAGCCAAAGGAGGCATTTTCTCACTTGGGCTGTGCAAGTGAAGCATCAGAGACACAGGAGAGCCTGTGGATGTAAGTCTTCCAAGTGAAGGTGTTGCTCTTCCTGTCTTGGTTTGAACAGACAGGTGTCTGCTAAGGAAGGCAGGAGCCTCCCCTGGAATGGAAAATGTAAACCCCCTACCTCTGAATTGTTATGATTTTGAAACTAAGAGGCTCTCAGGTAAAGATATGGGAATAGGAATAACAGTTCTTTACTAGGAAAATTAAAATAAAATTGCAATAGTACAAACAAACAAAACCATTGACAGAGTCAGACCATGCCCTGTCCCCTGTGTGCCAGGGCGGTGGCCCAGCCCCATCCCATGGGGGCTCAGCCCTCCTGCAGTGCCAGCTGTGGCTCTGCTGGAGCAGGGATCCTGCACAAGGGGGGAGTTTTCCTCTGCAGCTCCAGGGCTGCTGCAGATGGGCCTGGGCTCCCTCTGGCCATGCAGGGCAGCAGAAGCTGCTCCTCTGGCAATGCCCTGGGCAAAGGCTGCTGGGCTGTGCCAGGCTCACATTGGATCCAGGTAGGAATGCTTGGCTCCTGCCCTGGGCAATGCAGCATCTCCCCATGGGATGATGGGATTGGATCAGCCCTGCAGGGACACTCACAAGAGATCTCCTGGAGGGAGGATTGGGTGTGGAAAAGATAAAACAAACTGCCCAATGAACAGAGGATAACTGCCCTCCCTTTACCAGATGGTAATTTAATACACACCAGCCAAACCTGAGACACTTCCTCACTTGTTTTATCTAATACACTTACCCCAAAGCCCACAACAACATCTGGCCATGGCCTCTTTAGTGATGCCTCCTCCAGGCTGTCCCAAATAAGCACCAGTGTTGTCCCATGTACAGGTTTGCAGTGCTGGAAGGACTGCCTAGAGAAGAAAGGGTTCTGGAGACCCAGATTCTGGATTTTATTACCTGGAGGAGAAATAGCAGCAGCCCAGGATGATGGGGGAGATCCCAGCCCACCTGCTTGGCCAGGGGCAGGCTCTAGGCATGCCAGTGTTTCCTGCTTCCTTGACTTCCAGTCTGTTCTTCACAGCAAATGAGGATTTGCTCTCACATAGAGGTGTGAAATTATCCCTCCCTACCTGACTGGATAATACCTGGGATAACCTGGAGTGATAATCCAAAAGGATGGGCTTGGAGCAACCTGGTCTAGTGGCAGGTGTCCCTGCATATAGCAGAGAAGTAGAATGGGATGGGCTTTCAGGGCCCTTCCAACCCAACCACTGTGTGACTGTGCTGGGAGTGCTGTGGGCTCTCTGGAGGGAGGAGAGGCCTTGCAGAGGGCTCTGCACAGATGCACCACGGGGCAGTGCCAGTGGCACAGAACTGCTGAGTCCAAGTGCTGGGCTCTGCACTCAGGGGGAGCAAGGCTGGGCACGAGGCTGAGCTGGGAGGAGAGAGGCTGGGGAGCAGCCCCTGGAAGGGTCTGGGGGTGCTGGGGCAGCAGCTCAGCAGGAGCCATGGCCAGGAGGGCAGGTGGCATCCTGGGGACACTGACACAGGACAGGGCATGGCCTGGCTGTGCTCAGCTCTGGGCAGCCTCACCCAGAGAGCTCCAGGGTCAGGGATGGGGAAAGGGGCTCGAGTGTGCCCAGAAGAGGAGAACCAGGCTGGGGCTGGGAGGTGTGACCTGGGAGGAGGCTGAGGGCTCTGGCTTTTTCTGCTTTGGAGAGAAGGAGGCTGAGGCACAGCCCCATCCCCTCTGCAGCTTCCTGAGGAGGGGGCATGGAGAGGGAAGTGCTGATCTCATGGGAATGCTGCTCTCAAAGCAGGGCCAGGGAGGTTCAGGCTGGGCATTAGGAAGTGTTTCTCTATAGAGCAGATAATCAAACACTGCACCAGGCTCCCTGGAGAGATGGTTGATGCCCCAGACTGTCTGTGCTCAAGAGGCATTTGAGCAGTGGTGTAACTTTAGGGCAGCCCTGAACTGGTCAAGCAGTTGGACCAGATGGTTGTCCTAAGTTCCTTCCAGCTGAACTGTTCTATTCTAACATGAAGGGTTTTGTTGGTTTTGGGGTTTGGTTTTATTTGCTACAGTGTCTTGTAATGTATGGTTTGTTGTACAAAACCACAGTCACCTTTCTGCTACAGAGGCAGTGAGTCATTCATCTTCTGGCTTACTTGGTGTTTGTTAGTTATATCCTTATTTGCTGATATGTGTCACTCATAATCTAGGCTCTTTTGTATCCAAATGAAGCAGGTGGTAATAAGAAAGAGCCAGAGCATTTTCCAAAAGTAAATCATCTCACTAAGCTGATAACTTTTTACAACAAAAGGATGTTTTCTTTCAACATGGGCAGAGCAGTGGATGTCAGCAAAGCCTGTTATGCTCTTTCCCACAATCTTCTCCAGGCTGGACAGGGATTTGAGTGGCCTGGCCTAATGGAAGGTGTCCCCTGCTAGTGGCAGGGGGCTTGGAACAGGGTGAGCTTCCAACCTAAACCATCCTGTGATTCTGTCATTCTCCTGGGCTGCCTGGGTGGGCTGGAGGACAGGTAATAAGCTGGCTCAGGCTGTGCTCAGAGGGAGCCCATTGATGGATTTTACTCAGCTGTACTGGTTTGGAAAGCCTTACTGGATGCCATGAGAGCAGGGAAGGGAAGGTGGTGTCTTATGCAGTAGCCATCTTCTCCACTACCTGCTTTTCTGTGATGTTGGCTCTTCCACAGAGCAGTGAAATAAATGTTCCATCCAGAGCCTTGTTCTTCAAAGAAAAACCATCCTAAAGAGTGTTTTCTTCTGTTTGTAGGCAGTACAAAGGCTGCACACTGTCAGACTGCACTAAGGATGCTGGCTTGTGCTCAGCAATGTGTTTCAGTGCCCTTCTCAATACAGTTCCTAAGACCACATCTCTCTCAGCTTGGCCTTGGGGATGCTTTTGACAGAAATACCTCCATATATTCCATGCCCTGCCAGTACCTAGTCCTGCTCTCCACTCTTGGCCATTCAACCCTTTCTCTTTATTATGGGACACTCCCCACCTCTCCCTGCATCCTTCAGGACCAGTCAGAGAGGAGTTGATTGTCCTCTTCTGGGCTAAAGCAAAGTGAACAATGCCATCACTTGCAAAGAGGAAGAATTTTCTCATGGAAAGGGTACCCAGGTATTGGCAGGGGCTGCCCAGGGAGGTGCTGGAGTCCCTGGAGGTGTTCAAGGAATACCTGGATGTGGCACTCAGTGCTCTGGGCTGGTTACAAGGTGGATATTGGTCACAGGCTGAGCTCAGTGGTCTTGGAGGTCTCTCCCAGCTCAAATGGTTCTGGAATTCTGTGGCTCTATGAAAAGAGAATAAATACAGTCTGTGCTGCTTGGGTGTGGGGTGATGAAAAGCTAAGGGAAGTTCATGATGTCCTTGGAAAAGAAATCTGCCAGGATGCAGCTAGTTCTTCCTGAATCAAGCTGTTTATATTTTCTGCCCTTTTCCTACACCATTCTTTCTTTTTTTCCCCCTAAACTACTGACCATCACTGTGTAAAATACAGACTTTCCACATGAAAAGCTCTTTTGGGGAAGTGGAACTTTCCATAGTTCTCTTTTTCAGCTGTGTACAGAGAGGGTGCTCGGGAGGGAGACACACAACCCTGGGCTGTGGCCAGGGGAGTTCTGGCATAGCTCCATTTAACATCTTCCTTACACTTGCAGATCTTAAAGCCCCATGTAAGTTGCACTGTTGCACTGAACAATAGAGCAGTTCCCTGGGGGAATACAAGGGAGGAGGCAGTGTAGGGTTATTTTATCTTTCCTAGACCTTACTTCTGTGTTCTCAGTGATGCTTTCACATAGTGGTGCACTGTTGTTTGTAGCAGGGAGAGACAGGGTGGGTACATGTATGTGTATTTTTAGAAAGAATCAGTGTGACAGGCATTTCTTGTCCAAAATTCTAATTTTTTTTGAGACAGACTTAAACACTAGAATGCTGTGAATGCTCTGCACTTAGAACCAGTGGTCTTCTTGGCTCTCTCTACTGGTTTTGTCTTTCTCTGTACAGGATTATGGCGGGGACAGAGTTAATTTTCTTGACAGTGGCTGGTCTGGATCTGTGTTTGGATCGGCGATGGAAGCACAGGAATGTTGTAGCTGTTGCTGAGTGGTGCTTACACAACATGAAGGTCTGTTCTGCTCCTCACCAGTGCGGAGCTGCGAGGGGACCCAGCCGAGCTGGCTGAGCACAGCGCCGGAGGAGGCGGCGCCCAGCAATAAAACCTGGCAGGAAGGAGGAAGGGGGTGTTCCCAAGCCACCGTTACGGGTGATGGAGCTCAGCTTTCCTGGGATGGCCCAGCACCCACCTGCGGCAGGAAGCAGGGAATGATTTCCTTCTGATTCACTTGTTTGTGCAGGTTTTGCTTTACCTGTTAAACTGCCCTTATCACAACCCACGAGTTTTTGCATTTCCTCCTGATTCTCCCCATCCTGCTGCAAGGGGCAACTCTCCCAGGGCCTGACCCCCAAGAGGAAGCAGAGCAGGATGGAGTGATGAATCCCACCCAACTCACTAACTCTGTGTCACCTGGCTGCCCTTCCCTGCCCCAGCCCACCTCCACATCAGAACAAGTATTCATGCCTGGCATAATTTTTTTTTTTTTTGGTGTAACCAAAGCTGACAACACCCCAGGAGAGAGCAATGAATCAATTGTAAAAGTGTAAAAAATGGGCTTTTGTGATCTGTGGGCTCTACCAGCTCCTGAGTGAGAAATGGCACAGCTGACGTGTGTAATGTAACAGGAGAAAGAGGTCGCTGAAATGTGCCCTCCCTGCCAGCAGCAGCTGGTGCTGTGCCAAGAGTAACCCTAGAAATTCTCCATAAAAGAGCACATTGACACAGGTTCTACCAAGAAACTCAAGGAAAGCAACCCTACACCTTGCTAATCTCTGCATCTTGGTAAGTGCTGGAGTTGGGGCTGGTCTGGGGAAGCTGTGATTTAAAAAGAAATGCTGTGAATTTCGGTGCTCTGGAAATGCAGCAATGTAGGTGAAGGATCCTGGAGTGCTGAGGATTTGGCTGTTGGTGGGAGTCCAACAGTATACAAGGGTTAGAAGGGTGGCACTGTGTGAGGGGAGGGAAAGGGGACCACCAGGAGGTGCATGGAACTCAGCATGGCTGTAAAAGACCAAAGTAACAACTCAGTGCCCCCTAATCCAGGCTGGGAGGTGTGGGTACACTTCTAGTTGCCCAAATGAGGAGAGCAGTGGCTTCATCCCAGTATGGGGAGCAGGGAGATGACCCCCCCTGCAGACCTGCAGGACAGATTCTGCTCTCCCAGGGCAAACTGCAACCATCAAATCCAGTTTGTGAAGTCCTGGTGTACAGCAGCCTCAGTGGAATCTAAAATTCCTGCATAATATGAATTGTAACGGTTGTTAATGACACCAGAGATAAAATAATGCCCCTTTAGGGACAAGATTTCTCCCTCCCAAGGCATGCATACAGCCAAGTCTATTAAGCTCTTAACCTCCAGCTACAGTAATTGCATTTTTACCAAAAATTTGAAGTCTAAATGTTTTAAGATGAATTTCCCATAGGTGAACACCATTCCTGTTTGCTCTTGCCAAATGTGTCTGGCAGGGAATTCCTGTCCTTACCCATCGAGCAAGAAGCAGATAAAAGGGACAGCAGTCACTGACCATGGCCCCTGGTGCAGGGTGACAAAGTCCAGTGCCCTCCAGCAGCCCCTGTGAGCCTCCCTCCTGCAGCCAGGAGAGAAAAGGATCCCTTCTAAGGAATCCCAGTTCAGCCTCTCCTTCCCAGCAAAGCTGCTGCAAACGCCGTGTCCCGAGGCAGCTCTTTATGCCCGTGTTGATGTCCTGGATACCAGCACTTTTCATGGCTTATTAATTAACTCCCACCCCCTTCTGGGAACACCTAGCCACTCCCTTCATCCTCACCTATCCCAGCCATTTATAGCAGTGAACAGATGCTAGAAATAGAGACTTGGCCACTGTGAGCCAGAGGAGACAAACAGGCACTGGAGTCAGTTTGCAAAAGGAGAGATTTCCCAGCCTGCAGCAGCATGAAAAGCCCTGGGTGCACTCCAAGGTAAGGGCAGAGGGTGCTGAGTGCTGGGGGTGCCCAACTAAAACTTGCTTTGCAGGAAGGTCTGCTTCAAGTCATCCCTGGAAGTTGTTAATAACCCACAGAGTTAGTTACAATTTGCTCCAGGGAAGGGATTCATTTTGCCATTAGTATTTCTTGCCTGCGTTCCAGATCTTTGAATTTAAAAGAACCTTGCTAGTTTGATGCAGATGTCTGTTATTTTTGGCTTAAGCCAAAGGAACAAGAAGGGGGTCACAAGCCTTAAAGCATCTATAGCTGCACCTCTAAGAGAGGTAGATTTTGTGTAAGAGAGGTAGATTTCCATGTTTTCTTCCCAGAAGGGAAAAAAGCACAGCAGAGGCTGGAAAGGCAAGTGGAACCTCTGGCACCAAGTGTTCCGTGGGTTTTTTGTCTTCTTAGAATTTTGAGTCTCCCATGTGCTGCTCAAAGGTTTTCCAGGCTTGTTCAGGTAACTTCAGCACAGCATTCAGATTTGGACTTTCTCTCCTGAACTTTGCTGCACCAGATCTTAGAGGTATTTCACAACCTAAACAATTCCATGATGCTGTGCAGGTCAGAGCCTTGCAGTCTTGTGACAAAGGGGGTGTGTGATACTAAGGGAACACAGCTTAAGGCTCTCACAGAGATGTGCCAGGGTGGTGGGGGCCAAGCTGGGGTGAAACCCCAGTGCAGGTCTGCAGACAGAGAATCAGAATATTCTGAGCTGGAAGGGATCCACAGGGATCATTGAGTGCAACTCCTGGTCCTGCAAAGGACGATCCCAAATACCACACCAAGTGCATGACAGCATTTTCCAAGTGCTTCTTGTTATTCTCATAATTTCCATTGCATGCATTTGAAACATAGAGAGCCTGAGATGTAATCATTCTCTGCAGAATTTCAAGCAGTTGTCATGTCTTATTCTGGATTGAACACTGGAAGCAGGTCTGGGAGCAAATCCCACACTGGCCCTGTGCTGTTTTCTGGGAGAGCAGTCACGCTGTGTTCAAAACACTGTGTATGCTCCAGGTGAAGATCCTACACCCTTTCTGTCAGTAAAAACCCTGAAACATTTCAGGAGCTCATTTGTTTCCAAGCACAAGATGTGCAGAAATGATGGAGGCTTGTTGCAAGAGGAGGGAAAAGTGCCATCAGTTTGCTGTGTGAGAGATTTGTTTATTCAGCCTCCTTATTCCCCCAGTGTGTGTGGGGATGTCACCCTGGAGCCAGGGACAGCCCTGACAGTGCAGTGCCCTACAGGGGTGATGGGCACAGGACTCCATGGGTGCACTGACCTGCACCCTGTGTACCTGCAGCCCTCCTCTCATCCCCACACTCCTCCCTGGAGATCTCCTGGATCCCTGCCCTTGGCTCTTCCTCTGGACACCTTCCTTGCTCACCTTTGCTGGGCTGAGGTGCAGCAGAGTTCCCTCCATGTCACCACTCCCTGCTTGTTCCCTGGGCTGGAAGGTGTTGTGGTGTTATGAGGGTCCCCAGGATGAGGTGAGAGATGAGAATCTGACTCCTTGTTCTCAGAAGGCTGATTTATTATTGTATTATATTGTATTATATTATATTATATTATATTATATTATATTATATTATATTATATTATATTATATTATATTGTATTACATTATATTGTATTATATGGTATTATATTATTTATATTGTATTATATTGTATGCTATACTAAAACTATACTAAAGAAAGAGAAAGGATACATCAGGAGGCTATAAAAGAATGAATAATAAAAACCCATGACAGACCAGAGAGTCTGACACAGCTGGACTGGGATTGGTCATTAATTAAGAACAATTCACATGCTGGGTAAACAATTCTCCAAATCACATTCCAAAGCAGCAAAACAGGGAGAAGCTGAAGTTTCCCAGCTTCCCAGGAGAAGAATCGTGGGCAAAGAAGATTTTTCAGAAAATATCATGGTGACAGGAAGGCAGATACCCATCCATCCATCCATCATCCATCCATCCATCCATCATCCATCCATCCATCCATCCATCCATCATCCATCCATCCATCATCCATCCATCCATCCATCATCCATCCATCCATCATCCATCCATCCATCATCCATCCATCATCCATCCATCATCCATCCATCCATCATCCATCCATCCATCCATCCATCCATCCATCCATCCATCCATCCATCCATCATCCATCCATCATCCATCCATCATCCATCCATCCATCATCCATCCATCCATCCATCCATCATCCATCCATCATCCATCCATTCATCCATCCATCCATCATCCATCCATCCATCCATCCATCCATCCATCCATCATCCATCCATCCATCCATCCATCCATCATCATCCATCCATCCATCCATCCATCCATCCATCATTCATCCATCCATCCATCCATCCATCCATCCATCCATCCATCATCCATCCATCCATCCATCCATCCATCCATCCATCCATCATCCATCCATCATCCATCCATCCATCCATCCATCCATCCATCCATCCATCCATCCCAGGCACAGGAACAAGCACCATGCCATGATAATGCATTGTTTGTCACCCCTGGGACAAGGATCCTGCCCTTTCTGCCTGGGGACTGGCAACTGCATGGACCATGTTCTGCAGAGATCAGTCACTCTTGCTCCTTAAAACTCACCATTCCAGGAAGAAATAGTTTTGGTCTAGACAATTCAAAGGTTCATTCCTCCCTGTGTCTCCAGGGACAAAATATAGCTGTTGTTTGGTTTGGGGCATGTCCAGACAAAATGGGAGCATTCACTTAGGCTGGGGTTGGGCTTGGTGTGCTAAATGTGTCTGAATATTGGGAGGCAGAATGGCACTGTATAATCCTTCATTTAAGCAAACAGCTATTAAAATATTGTGGGATGCCTTGAGGTGATAAGGTGCAGAGGTCTACAGAGCCTGTCTTCTTGCAGCAGAAGGGATTTTGCCATTAGTATTTCTTGCCTGTGTTCCAGGTCTTTGAATTTAAAAGAACCTTGTTAGTTTGATGCAGATGTCTATAATTTTCAGCTTGAGCCAGAAGAACAAGAAGGGGGACCTATGCTCTGGGTCTTCTAGAGCATATTGTGATCTGTATCTGCCCTCAGGATGATTTTGGGTGTATGTGATTTGTTTGCCCCATAAAACATCATTCAGAGTTGCCATTTTGGGGACACGACCTAAATTAATAAATGGACGGTTACTGCACCCATTAAACTCGACAGAAAAGGTGCAGCAGGAGGATGTCAGCTTAGGAAGGACCTCCAGGCAGGCAGGCAGGCAGGGTGATGTGCTTTGGAAAACCATCAGATAGAAGGCAGCCTCAGTTTAAATGAAAGACCAAGAAGATTGGTGTGGGGACTGCATGGAGCCTGCTCGCTGCCCATGGGCTCCTCTGGCTTTCTTCTCCCACCTCATCTCCAAGGACAGGGCATTGTCCCACTGCCATGCCCCTAACAGGCCTGGGGCAAAAAGTTTAGGAAATCCTGATGAAATCTTGCCTGCAGGCCTGTCTTGAAACTCTTTGTGCAGAAGCTGTGCTGCAAATTCCTGACAGAGGTTGGTACCAGCTATGGCTGAGAGTCTCCCCTGGCATTGGGAAGGGATTTTGGAGGAGGGCTTGAAGGCTTGCTTGCTCCCTTTGGAGGGTGGAAACCACAAGTGTGACCATAGCATGCTGGAAATTGGGATGATATCTTCTTAAAACAGTGTAAAGCCTGAGCCAGATCTGCTGCATTTTGGCCATGTCTGCAAATATGAGATTCACACAGAGCTAAAAAAGCTTCCAGGGTGAGAGAAGTCAGATCAAACTTGGTGGTGAAAAATTCCTTTTAGGTGGGCACCAAACCTTCAAAAGATCCCCTCTGTGTCCCAGCTGGAGCACACTGGTGGTGATCATGGTACCACAGGATTGTTTGAATTGGAAAAGACATTAAAGACCATCCCACTCCAACCCCCTGCAATGTGCAGGGAACCCTTGATGCATCATGGTTGCTTAATTAGTGCTGGAAAAGACTCCTCCCTCATCATTATTCACCCCCCCCATTTCAAAGTGGGGTGTAATAAATCCATTACAGGTGTTGTTGGGTTATTTGATATTTCAGTCTTGAAAAATCGTATTTTTATTGCAAAAGTACCTCAGTTTAGTGGGTTTTTTCCTGAGTTTAGTGGGTTTTTTCCTAATCCTCATCTTCTGGAGTGATGTGATTACAGGAGCTGCTCAGGTTTCTCACCAGGGAAGTCTTTATACCCCTACAAAGGGCTCGTTTTCTGGTGAATAATCTAGGAGTTTGAATAGTGAATAAGCTCTAAAGCCCCAGAAAACCAAAAGAAAAGCAAAACAAAAGGCAGCCAAGCAGAGCAGGAGGCTGTGGGAAGAGCTCAGGCTCTGCCTGAAGCACACTGTGTCTTGCCAAAAGCCAAATTAGGAGAGTAATAGTGAAAGTGCAGTTTCTCACTGTCTTGCCTTTAACACCTGCTCAGGGTCCAAAGCTGGCTGCCAAAACGGAAATATAAAACTGTGCTCACATTCCTGAGGGCAAGATGCAAAATGTGGTGGTTTGGGAAAGGACTATTGGGTAAAAATCCACTGAAACTCTTCTTTTTTTCCAGGCATGCCAGGTGTCTCATCATTTTCAGCTTCTGCCTGGGACTTTCCTGCCTCTCGGGATTCTTCCATATGAAGAGTAAGAGTTACAGGTAAGGGAGGCTGAAGCAAGGTTGCACAATTTCCTGTACCTGGAGCAGCCAGGACGTGGCCTCTGACATCTGATTTATTTCTCATGAGGCCTTGGGCTAATGTTCAAAGGGGGGTGGCTCAAAACTAGGTCCTGGTTTGGGGAAGGAATGGAATTAGCCAAAGCTCAGCCTCTGTGGGACAAAATCAGCTGTGTGGGAAAAGGGGATTGAGCTGGAATCTTTGGTAAGTGAGAGTCTGGAGAGGGGGAAAACTGGAGGGGGAAAACACCTACACTGGAGGGTTGGGGCTGATCTGGGTGCAGCCTTGGACCACTGCAGGTGTGGGGTCAGAGGAGCAGCTGGGTTTGGCTTTGCCAGGTCTCAGAGATGGGGTGCAGCACCAAGAGAGTCTCTTTGCCCCATTTGTCACCTCCCTGCAGAATCTCAAAGAGCCACGAGGAGCTGCTGATCCCTCCCACGCCGTGCCATGCCAAGACAAATGTCATGTTCCTCAAAACCCACAAGACTGCCAGCAGCACTGTGCTCAACATCATGTTCAGGTTTGCAGAGAGGTACAACCTCACTGTCGCCCTCCCTGCTGACAAGCTCCTCCACCTGGGCTACCCAAGCACTTTCGTGGCCCACTTTGTGGAGGGCTTTGAAACCATAGGCCAAAATTACAACATCATGTGCAATCACCTGCGGTTTAACCCCTCGGAGGTAAGAAAGAGCCACGACACCTGAGGAGAAACTTGGCTGGGACAGGACTAACAGTGGTGGTGTTCATAGGGTCCCAGGATGAAGGAAGAGATGAGAATCTTGACTCCATGTTTCAGAAGGCTGATTTGTTATTTTATGATATATATTATATTAAAAGAAAATGATATATTAAAACTATTCTAAAAGAATAGAAGGAAGGATTTCATCAGAAGGCTAGCAAGGAATAGAAAGGAATGGAATGAAAATAAAATCTTGTGACCGACCAGAGAGTCTGAGACAGCTGGACTGTGATTGGCCATTAATTAAAAACAACCACATGAGACCAATCAAAGATGCACATGTTGCATTCCACAGCAGCAGATAATTATTGGTTTTTCTTTTCCTCTGAGACAGACTAACCTCTTCTTCCTCCCACAAATAGGTAAAAAAGGTGATGGCAGCCAACACCTTCTACTTCTCCATCCTGAGGAACCCCATTCCTCTGCTGGAGTCTTCCTACATCTACTACAAGGACTATGTGCCTGCCTTCAGGAACTCCAAGAACGTGAACGAGTTCCTGGAGTCACCCACAAGGTATTACCAGCCAGCAGATTACAGGAGCAACATCTACGCCAGGAATATCATGTGGTTTGACTTTGGCTACAACAACAACGCCAAGGATGACACCAACTACACCCAGGCTGTCCTGGAGGAGATCGAGCACAACTTCCACCTCATCTTGATAGCAGACTACTTTGATGAGTCCATGATCCTCCTGAAGCACACTTTGTGCTGGGATCTGGATGATGTGATTTACTTCAAGCTCAATTCCAGAAGCCAGGACACCGTCCAGACGTTGACTCCGGAAAGTGAGGAGCAGATAAAAGCCTGGTGCTCACTGGACTGGAAGCTCTACCTGCACTTCAACCAGAGCTTCTGGAGGAGAATTGAGGAGACCATAGGGCTGGAGGTGCTGGCAAAGGAGGTGGATCACCTGAGGACCAGACAGAAGGAGCTCATGGAGACTTGTCTGTCAGAGCAGGAGGCAGTAAGGAAGGATCACATCAGGAATAAAGCTCTCCTGCCTTTCCAGTCAGGGGCTGCAAATATCCTGGGCTACAACCTCAAACAAGACTTGGACAACACAACTCTGAGAACCTGCCAGAAAATGGTCATACCAGAGCTCCAGTACACCTCCTACCTTTATGCTGTCCAGCACCCACACAAGAAGAGGAAAAATGTGGGACTGCCATTGCTGTGGACCAGTCTTCAGGAGAAGATGCAGCTCCCAGGGTCCAACTAGGACATGTGGCAACCCACTGTGGCTTCCCACTGCTTTGCATCCCCCCTTGTCTGACCTGGAACTGACCCACAGGACTCCTGTGCATGAGGGGGAGGCAGTGGGGCTTTGTTTAGGGACACCAAGTTGGTGGTTGGTCTCTTTGGGGACCTTGAGCCAAAGGCTTTGCATTGTCCAGGTCCTGGGTGATCCCACCTGCCTGCTCCTGGCTGGAGGGAGCCAGGCTGGCTGCAGCTGGACAAGACATTCCAGCCTCTTAATCATTAATCAGGAGCGTGATCATTTGCCTTCATTTGATTTTATTTGATATCCATCGTTGCATCAGTCTGGTCACAGCTCACTGGAGCAGGTCCTGACTTTGGAGGGTTTAGGGGAGGGGGAGGGAAGTCAGGGGGGTGTGACAAGGGGACACAGTGCTCAGAGGAGCAGGGGAGATGGTGGCTGTCCCATCCAGCAGCATCCACGCTCACTGAGGACAAACCACCACACGCTGCTGGAGCTGCCTTTGCTGTGGCAGCCCCAGGCACCCTGCCCAAAGCCAGGCAGGCTGGCTGCCTTGCCCAGTGGCATGTAAGCTGTGCCTCTCGCATGTGTCACCAGGTGAATGGGCCTCTGTCCCATGTGGGAGAGCTCAGTGCTCCCCTGGGAGGAGGTTTCGTGGTTTTGCCCCTCGCTCTCAGGCAAGGGTGCCTGGGCATGGATGTTCCTTTGGGTGCAGCATCCCCAAAGCCCTTTTTTGGCAAAGCAGACAGTTTTTTGGGGCTCCCATTGCTGTGTTGGCCAAACTCTCCAGCACAGATGAGGAGGGGATGGAGTGAGGCACAGCTTTGGGCACACTGGTGCATCCAGGTCCCCACTGCTGCCCTGACCAGCACGAGCAGGAGATGCTGGCCCAGCTTTAAACACTGGGGTTTTGTCAGGGTAAGCTGGCATTGACAGATGTGCTGGGGAGAGGTGACAGTGACACCAAATCCATCCTCACAAACCTTGCTGCACTGCCCCAGCAGCAGTGCCCTGGATGGCAGGATGGGGAGGATGGCTCTGGGGTCCAGATGTTGCCTTGGGGTGAAGCTGTGGGGCAGCAGCTCCAGCTGGGAAGCAGGGGTGATGCTGTCAGCAGGAGGGGGGTGAGAAGCAGAGCCAGGACTTTCCTCAGTTGTGTTTAGCAGCTGCTGAGGCAGCCCAGCAGGAACAACCCAGATTAACAGCACTTTGCTTCACTAAAATTAACCTGAGGCTTTTGTAGCAGCCAGGTGAAGCTGCCACACTTGGTCACCCTGGGCCATCCCAGGAGCCCTTCCTGAGCAGTTCTGCAGCCTCCACCTGTTTTCCCCTTGGAGCTTCTGACCTGTGACTTGCCATATGGATTTTGTCAAACCCTTTTAGCTAAACTGATCACAGAGATGGAATATTGGAATATAGGTATAAAAATGTTTTCTTCAGAGCTGATTTATGTGCAGGTGGGGGTCGTGGGAAGGCTGGGGATCCTGGGGAAGGCTGGGGTTTCCTGGGAAGTTTGTGGGTCCTGGGAGGGCTGGGGATCCTGGAGAGGCTGGGAGTGCTGGAAAGGCTGGGAGGGCTGGGGCTCCATGGAAGGTTGTGGGTCCTGGGAGGGCTGGGACCCTCTGTCCCACAGCTCCCAGGCTGGGGAGCTCACAGTGGGGTGCACTGGGGTGAACATGGGCTGGAGCCCCTGGACAGGGCAGTCTGGCCTCTCCCAGCCTGCAGGAGGGGGGAAACTGAGGCAGGAGGTGCACGGATGCCCCCGCTTCCCCTCCGGGGGTCCGAGCACGGTGTCCGAGCAGCCGCGGGCCCCGCTCTGCCCATAAGGGCTCCTTTGTGGCCCGGGCGCCGCCGCAGCGCCGCTGCTGAGTCAGGGATTCGAGCGGGGGAGCCCCGTGACCCAGCGGAGGGGGGACCCTGCGGGACAGCGGGGCCGAGCGGGGAGGCCACGGCTCTGCCGAGAGCCGGCGTTACTCCGTGCTGGGGCCAGGGACACGGAGAGGGGACACTCAGCCGAGCAGGACACGGTGAGTGCCATTGCTTTCTCCGGGGGGTTGAATCAGCAAAAGCTCCTGATGAATCCACAGGTGAGAGCTCCAGCTGAGCCTGGAGTGGGTGCCCATCTCCTTCTAATCTCCAGGGAAATGCAGGGACGTGTAAGCAGGGGACAGCTGACCTGTCCCCGAAGGAAAGGCTTTGGGGACAGCTCTCAGCCGGTGCCACAGGGACAGCCCAGCTGGGGACGCCGCTGTCCGAGCTGTGCAGCTCAGGTTCCCCCACAGAGGAGGGGGAGCAAGGGCTCAGCCGGGTCCGTGTCACTGGAGGCACAGGGGCACAGGAGCACCCCTGACCCTGTCCCGATGAGCCTGGGCTGCTCCGGGGGTCTCCTCTGTGGGCTCTGCCCTCCCAAGCTGTGCAGCTGCAGGTCTCACCCTGCTCTCTGCTCACTGGCCTTGATTTCCCAGACAAGCATCCTAAAGATCAAATTCATTTTATTTCATTTTATTTTGGGGTCCCTAGCTCAGCCTCCTCGCTGGTACCCTATGCCCTGACAGCCCTGAGCTGTGGTGAGTGGCCAGCACACACTCATCATCCCCTGTCCACCCCAGGCCCTGCTCCGGGGGGTACCCCGACCCCAGCCCACCGAGTTAAAGCCCAAACCCTTCCAAGGACAGCCCCACACCCCTGGCCATGCCCAGCTGTGGCTGGAGGACACGAAAGAACACAAGTGCACACCGCTGTTCTTAAGGTGAGGAAAAAAGGGAAGTTTATTTTTTGACTCCAACATTTATAGTTTTCCAAGGGTGACAGTGGATTGGAGGGTGACAGTGCCACCTCTCCAATGCCACTGGACAAACCAACAGTCCATCAACTTTCTCCTCCTCCATAAAAGAACGCAAAACAATGAGTTATTTACAGAAAGTGTGTGAAAAAGTTCGCTAGAAGAATGTTAATATTAGAAAGCTTAGAAAATCCTAAAAAATCAGGGCGACACCAGCAGCCGCTCCCCCGCCTTCATCAGGGCCGCCGCATCCTTGTGCCGCAGCAGCTGCCATGGGCTCCCGGCACTTCCCGGCACGGACCGTGCTCTTCGAGAAGGAATCCAGCGGTGTCACCTACCGTGTGCCCGCCCTGCTCTACCTGCCCTGCGTGGCCAAGCTGCTGGCGTTCGCCGAGGAGCGCCTCAGCGCCGACGATGCCCACGCCAACCTGCTGGTGCTGCGCCGCGGCTCCGTCTACGGCAGCTACGTGCAGGTGGGACGCGGTGTGCCAGCCTGGGGACACGCTGGGGCTGTCCCCATCGCTTGGCGTGGCACAGCCAGGCTGTGGACACTGCCACACCGGGAGGGGAGGATGGCTGGTGGAGTGAGTCACAGGGCCACGGGCTGGTTTTGGGTGGATCTCAAAGGCCATCTCACTCCATGCTCTGACAGGGGCAGGGACACCTTCACTATCCCAGGCTGCTGCAAGCCCCATCCAGTCTCAGGATCTCTGCTGGTCAGAGTGACTCTGAGATACGTACAAGTCTCTTTTTCCCAGCCTGGCAGTTGAATAAGGAGTCAGGATTCTTCTGTTCTCATTCTCAAGGTTGTTTATTATTTTTCATCTATAACATTTTTTCTCTGACCTGACGAGGTCTCTCTGGCAGGTCGGGCTGAGGCACACTGCCCACCTCAGAGGGTCTTTTTATACTAAAAACTACGTGTACATTATTTTCAATTACTTCCCAATACCTATCATCTACGTTAGACAGTCTGTCTCTAAACCAATCTAAAAGTGCCAATATCACCTGGAACATTTACAATAACTTCCCAATACCCTATCACCTATGTTAGACAGTGAGTTTCTACCTTAAACCAATCTAAAAGTGCCAGCATCACCCAGAACATGGAGGCTAGGAAGAAGAAGGAAGAAGGACAGGGTACACCCAAATTCCCACATCTTGGGACTCCGAGCCCCCATTCTAAAAACCTCAAAAATCTATTTTTCACCCTGTGACAAACTAACTAACTACTTAAATTCTCTTGACTCGTGATTCTTCATATAAAGGTGGTAATTTTCTCCATGGGTCAAAATCAAAGGCACAGGAGTCTTGGGCTCTGTCCCAAGGTCTCCAAGCCCCTGCCAGGGTCTCGCGTCCTCCAGGGCAGTCAGAGGAATTTCCAGGGTTCCAACAATCCAACCCAGCTGGGAACAATCCAGGGATAGGGCAGCCACAGCTGCTCTGGGCAAAATCTGGGATGGTCCTTACCCCTGTCTGTCCTCTCCTCCTCCTCCTCCTCCGTGGGCAGTGGGAAGACATGCGTGTGCTGGAGACAGCAACGCTGCAGCACCACCGCTCCATGAACCCCTGCCCGCTCTACGATGAGTTCACGGGCACCCTCTTCCTCTTCTTCATCACCGTGCTGGGCAGGACGCCCGAAGCCTACCAGATTGTCACTGGCCAAAATGTCACCCGCCTGTGCTGTGTCACCAGCGCTGACCAGGGCCTGAGCTGGAGCACGGCCACAGACCTGACACAGCAGGTGATTGGTGCCACCATCAAAGGTACCCAGTGGCAGGGGGTGCTGGGGGAGAGGGGATGTGACCGTGTGTTCACAGGGGTCTGAGGATGAGGGACGAGATGAGAATGTTGACTCCATGTTTCAGAAGGCTTGATTTATTATTTTATGATATATATTATATTAAAACTATACTTAAAGAATAGAAAAAGGATTTCATCAGAAGGCTGGCTAAGAATAGAAAAAGAAGGAGTGAATAACAAAGGCTTGTGGCTCGGACAGAGAGTCTGAGCCAGCTGACTGTGATTGGCCATTAATTAGAAACAACCTCGTGAGACCAATCCCAGATGCACCTGTTGCATTCCACAGCAGCAGATAATCAATGTTTACATTTTGTTCCTGAGGCCTCTCAGCTTCTCAGGAGAAAAAATCCTAAGGAAAGGATTTTTCATAAAAGATGTCTGTGACAAGGGGACAGCAGCCAGCATGGCGGTGGCCCTGGCTTTTGCTGTCCTGGAGCCACCTGTGACATTGCTGGGGGTGACTTTGACACAGGAATCCCCCAAACTTCCAAACAGGTGGAGGAGGACTCCAGGCAGAGGGGAGAAGGGAGGGAGGGAGCCTGCATATCAGTTCGTGGGAGTGGGGAGAAGATGGGGAGGCATGAGTGGGGACAGCCAGGCAGCGCTGGGCTGTGTTACCCTCCCACCCCACCCCACCGCTCGAGGGGAAGCCCCGGGGACCCCCCCACGCTGGGCATGGCGGGCACCATGGTGCTCCCTCTTTACCCCATCCCACCTTCACCCCACGCCGCCTCTGCTCCCCAGACTGGGCGACGTTCGCGCTGGGCCCCGGGCACGGGATCCAGCTGCGCTCGGGCCGGCTGCTGGTGCCCGCCTACAGCTACCACATCGACTGCAAGGAGTGCTTCGGGCAGCTCTGCAAGACCACCCCGCACTCCTTCGCCTTCTACAGCGACGACCACGGCCGCGCCTGGCGCTTCGGGGAGTTCATCCCCAACCTGCAGTCGGGCGAGTGCCAGCTGGTGTCCGTGGATGAGGAGGACGGCTCCAACGTCCTCTACTGCAACGCGCGCAGCCCGCTGGGCTTCAGGGTGCAGGCGCTGAGCACGGACGACGGGGCCGTGTTCCACGGGGGGCAGCTGGTGCAGCGGCTGGTGGAGCCGCCCCACGGCTGCCACGGCAGCGTCATCGGCTTCCCCGCGCCGCTCGTGTACGTCCCTGCTGCCTCCCGGGACACCGGGATGCCCTCCCGGGGCTCGGGGCGCCGCCTGCTCCCCGGGGCGCTCCGGGCGCTTGGGCACCCGCCCACCCGGCAGGCAGGAGGAGCTGAGCCCCCCGCTGGCGGCCGCCCTGAGCCCCATGAGGATGCCCACGGTGTCACCTTGGTGCAGGGGGACTCTGCGGCGAGCCCCAGCCCCGCTCCCTTCTTCCAAGCGCCAACGTGGATCCTGTACTCGCACCCCACCAGCCCCATGTCCAGGGTGAACATGGGCGTTCACCTGAGCACCTTCCCCAGGGACGCCGAGAGCTGGACAGAGCCCTGGGTCATCTACGAGGGCCCGAGCGCCTACTCGGACCTGGCGTACCTGGAGCTGCCGCAGCGGGAGGCGCCCGTGGCCGGCGGCACCGCCGCCGCCTTCGCCTGCCTTTACGAGAACGGCGTGAGGTCTCCCTACGAGCAGATCTCCTTCAGCATGTTCACGCTGCACGATGTGCTCCAGAACATCCCCCTGACAGCCGCTGCTCCCCCCCGGCCCCGCGGCGGGAGGAGGAGGAGGAGGAGGAGGAGCTGCTTCATCTCCTAGAGCCCGCCTAGGTCAGCTCCCCCATCACCACCACCCCAGTGCTGGATCCTGGAGCATCCGCCCCTCGGCTGGGTCCTGCCACCGTCCAGCACGGCCCCAGCACACGGAGGTGTCATTGTCCCCACACTGGGCTCTGTCTCATTTTTATTGCTGCTTTTTAAATTCTGTTTTGGGTGGGGAGGCTTTTGCCCCCAGCTCTGGTGGTGTTCACAGGAGTCCCAGGACGAAGGAAGAGATGAGAATGTTGACTCCTTGTTTCAGAAGGCTGATTTATTATTTTATGATATATATTATATTAAAAGAAAATGAAATATTAAAACTATACTAAAAGGATAGAAGAAAGGATTTCATCAGAAGTCTAGCAAAGGAAAGAAAGAAAAGGAATGATAATAAAATCTTGTGACTGACCAGAGAGTCTGAGACAGCTGGGCTGTGATTGGCCATTAATGAGAAACAACCACCTGAGACCAATCCCAGATGCACCTGTTGCATTCCACAGCAGCAGATAACCATTGGTTACATTTCATTTATGAGGCCTCTCAGCTTCTCAGGAGAAAAAATGCCAGCAAAAGGATTTTTCATAAAACACATCTGTGACAGCCAGCCCAGCCTCAGGCTCCTCTCCAAGCAAGATCCACCTCTTGAAACAAATATGGGGGCCAGCAGTGCAGGGGAGAGGCAGCCAGGGGTGCCCTGTGCCACCCCCGTGTGCCAGGTGCTGGCTCAGGGGCACGTGGGATGGCTGGTACCACCCCCCTGCTCCAAGGGCTTTCCTCCCCTTTTTATGCTAGATAAATGTGCTATATATAATGTTAAATTATTTTTCATGAAAAGGCTTTTTCTCAATGGTCTCTCTGAAGTCACTCTGAGGGTTTGGGCTGGGGTAGAGTTCTGTCCCTTCATTTTAGCTGGGATGGGGCTGGATTTTATATTTGGGCTGATGATAAAGAAAATTTTGTATTACATTACTTGTCTGTCTGGGCTTTTAGTGATTCTTCTTTGTTATTTTCCTTTTCCTTACAATTTGTTATTATTATTATTTCCATTATTAATGTGTTTTTATGTCAACCCAGGAGATGTCTCACATTTACCCCTCCAATTCTCTCCCCCTCCCATGGCATGGGGGTGAGTGGCTGGGTGGTCCTCAGGTGCCAGCTGGGGTTCAACCACCCCAATGGCCCAGTTACTGTTTTGTCTGCTCTGGGATTTGGGTTTTTCATGTGCCAGGGCCATCACTGCTCTCTGACCCTTGTCAGTCTGGGGACAAAGCCCCTCCCAGCCCATCAGGCTCAGGGTCCTATAAAGGTTATGGGGAGGGGGCTGAGCACAGGAGGGGGGTCCTGCTCCAGGGAACGAGCAGCAGCTGCTCCTGACACTCGTGTGTGGGTGAACTTTGGGGGTGCACCTCAATTCCTGCTCTGCCTCCCCCAGCACAGCACCTCAGGCTCCTTCACCTGTCCTGGCCTGATGGCAAACAGCAGCTCAGCTGCCCTAAACATGCACTGATTAACAAAACTGATTAACAAAACTGATTAACAGGAGTGCCCAGCTCTTCAGTCTGTGACACCACCATGCCTCATTTTCCACCAGGGTGGGTGGAGGCTGACAAGTGACAGACAACACATAGAATAGAAATTTTCAGTTCCCTGGAAGCTGCAAAATAGTACTTAAAGACTAACTAGCAAGTGAGACAAAAGGGTGTAAAAGCAGGCAGACAGGATGCTAAACACATCTGGAACCACTGGAGAAACAGGTAATGAGACAGATGAGCTGTCAAGGTGATTGGTTTACACCTGATGGTTGCTGACAATCCCTAAAACATTTCATGTAAACTTGTTTCTTCTCTATCAGGACAAATCCCTTTACCACTGTTGTTGCTGTGTTTCTTGGGAACATTCAACACATGGTGAGTGTTGAATGGAGATTTGTTTTCAGGGTGTTGGTTTTCTTAGAAAACTCAAAGCTACAACAAATGGCCAAGTCTTCTGATGGAGCTTTCAGATCTGACTGTGTCTTTTTGGGTGCTAATATGTAATGCTGGGTGTTCACTGAACTGTTTGTATGTGATGCCACAGATTTATTTATCTCTTAGTGAGGATGTCAACCTCAAACAATTAAGCTATATTTATAGTTTTATAGCAGATTAAATAACTCCTCTGGATTAAAAAATTAACATTTTGGAACATGGTGACTTTTGTGGCAAAGTTATGTAACAAGAAACAGCAGCTCGTGCCCTGAGAGAGGTTCAAGGCAAGGTCACAGTATTGGGGCACTGAGTACAACCAGCACACACCCCTGTAGAAAACCCTCTAGGATCAAAAATCCCTTTTCCAGGAAGGGATGGAGGCATGTAAACTGGTTCTAGGCAAAGTGCTGCTTCTGTGTTCTCCAGGAAGCCCCTTGTAATGAACCTGTGTGACCATGGGGAACAAACCCTGCTGTGAGGCTCCACAGCACACATTGGGTCAGAGGGGACATCCTGCGTGTCCACTCTGGGATGAGGAGTGCCTGCTTTCTAATGCTCCAGATTGGGGCAGGAAATTGGTTCTCTGCCTTGCAGTATCTCAAGGCTGTCTGCTTTCAGTTCTTCTCCTTTCAGTATCACAAGGGGTGGCTGAGGCAGCCAGGCCCTCCCCTCCGTCCCTTACCAGGCCAGTCCCAGCCCCAAGGGAGGGGACACGGCCCAGGCCAGGGACCTGCACAGGAGCAGCCCCTGGCTCATCATCCCCACGAGCTGCTCCAGCCCCTCGGGGGCTCTGTCCGTCTCACGCAGGGCTCTGGCTCCTGCTGTGCCCTCTGTGCCCGCAGCCAGGGACACCCGGGCTGGCACATCCTCCTGGCAGGCCCTACTTGCCGTCACAGGAGCCGCAGAGGCAGCCGAGGAGGCCGTTGAGGATCTGGAGCAGGGCCAGCAGCATCTCGGCGGCGCTGATGAGCAGCAGCAGCGAGAACAGCGCCACGTGCCAGGCCACGATGCCCTCGGGCTCCAGGCAGGTGCTCCAGGTGCTCCGGTTGTACAGGTAGTTCTCAGCCCTGCGTGACAGGAAGGGGATAAAGTGCAGGATCCCATCGATTTCTGCTGTGAAACATCCCCCAGACACCCCACCCTTCATCCAGGGGATGAGCAGAATAAAAGCTCAGAAGCAAAAAAGCAAGGAACAGGCAAGAAAAAGAATGGTTAGAAGAATCACATGTACTCATGTGTGTGAATCTAAAAAGAGAACAGAATTATTTTGTAGCACATACAATGACAGGAGGGAAAGAAACCTATACAATAATTCTGCCATCTCTCCGAGAATTGACCTGGCCACTGGAGGCAAACTCATGGAAGCTGATGTCAAGATGTTGCAGTGCAAAATCATTGGAATAAAACATTAACCATGGGTTCAGATAAGATGAAATGTTGGTAAGAGTCTGGAGTAAAGAAATGGGAGCATTGGAGTTCAAACAGTGAATGCAAAGGGATCATTCATAATAAACTAGCAAACAGCGCTGCAACTTCTTATTCAAGTTCTATTCTGTTACTTGTTATTACAATTACTTTAGCTAGGAGGTGGGAGGGTGATGAAGATGGAAAGCACCACTCAGAAACCCATGGAAGGTGAGGATTCCTCGAGCTACCAGGGTCCCGCATCAACCACCACCAGCAAGCACCCACCCACCCCCTCCCTTAATCCACTTAATTAGCAATGAATGAATGAGGCAGCAGCGACTGAGCCCTCACCTGGCACCAGCGCCCAGGTCGATGGGATCCAGGAAGGGGTAACCCCAGAGGGCGGCGTGCCCGGGGCCCAGCGCGGTGCTGTTGTGCAGGCAGAGCGGGCCGGTGCTCAGCCCCACGCCGCAGAGCACGAAGCAGGCGGCGGCGCCCAGCAGCGCCAGCTTGGAGAGCAGCACGGACAGCAGCGCCTGCGGGGGCACACACACTCAGGGGGTACAAACCAGCCCAGCCTGTTTGGCAGCGGGAACTGCCCTGCCCAGCTGTGCTTGGGGATGGAGGCACCGCTGGGATGGCAGAAGCGGGCAGGGAGAGGCAGCGACCGGCAGAGCCCATCCCGGGACGCCCTGGGGCGGGACAGCCTGCCGTGGCACCTGGGGAGGGGACACCCTGCCATAGGGCCCTTGGAGAGCAGCTCCCTGCCTCAGGACCCGCTGTGGGACAGGGGCGTTCCACACCCCACCGTGGCACCTGAGAAAGGGATCTGTGCCCAGCACAGGAGAGAGGGACCCGACACAACCCACCGGGGGCCGGACAGAGGGGCATCCCTGCCCTGTCCCATGGCAGAGGGGGATCCCTACCCTGTCCCACCCTGGGGCCATGGCAGAGGAGGATCTCTGTCCCAGGTGGGGCCAGAGGAGAATCCCTGCCCTGTCCCACAGCGGTTCCATGGCACAGGAAGGTCCCTGCCGTGTCCCACAGCAGGGCACGGAGGAGCCGCCTCCCGGCCCCATTCCCGCCCCGCCGGCTCCCGGCCCCATCCCCGCCGCTTCCCGGCTCCCTTGGCTTACGCTGTGGCGGCCGGAGCAGCCGGGGCGCTGCCAGCCCAGCGCCGTGACCTGGGTCGCTGCCAGCAGCACCTGCGGGGACAGAAGCAGAGCTGGGGGACCAAGGGGAGCCACCGGCCCCGCTCCGCGCCCCTGGCCCCGCTCCGCGCCCCTGGCCCGGCGGGAAGGGCGCTGTGCCCCGCGGTACTCACGGCGATGCCGCCGCCCCAGAGCCCCGGCAGGGCGCGGGCGTGGCGGCCCAGGTGTCCCTGCAGCAGGTACCGGGATGCTCCGGCCGGGAACAGCAGCAGGACGCTGGCCAACATGGACAGCGTGCCCAGCACCAGCAGGCAGGGCCCCACGATCCGGCTGCACTTCCCCACGCACATGGCTGTCCTGCATGGGCACGGGGAGGAAGAGGAGGAGGAGAGGAAGGGGCTGCATTTGGCCCTGCGGAGCCCCGAGCCCATCTCACAGCTGTGGGTGGGTGGGTGGGTGGGAGTTGCTGGGTTGTGCCTTTGGGTGTCAGCCCACCCTGCTGGCACTGCCCCTACTTGGGGCAATTTCCAGTGGAAATTCTAATTCTTGTTTGCTAAATGGGCGCTGGTGTTCCTACACCAAGCCCCAAGA